TGGTCTTGCCACAACCCTAGGGTTCTAGTTTCTAAGTCACAGCTTGGAAACATTTGAGATCCCCACCCCATAACCATACATTAAGTTGCAGGGCATAATAAATATAATACAGATATGCTTCAAGGATTTGCCTTGGGGTCTGGCATATTCCCTTGGGTCTCATTTGGAGAATATTTTGCCATAATTGCTGAGATATCCAGGTGAGTGATACAGGCCCACTGGGTCTCTTGTTTCTCTCGTTTCCGACCTTAATAAATGATATAGTTTATATGATTTACATGTTAATAATTTTTAAGTTATAGTGCTATGCCAATAGTATATTGTCTGACTTTTGATCTACTGCGTCGTAATCCACAGACAGCTTGAATAGCTAGAGACATCAAAATTACATATGTGCGGCAACGCCACGTGAATTATAATTCAAAACATATAATTTGTCTTTCATCCCCAATGATTGTGAAAGAGAATATATCACTCCTGTGTAATTTAGAGAGAAATATACACCCAAGGTTCAGGACGGGGCTTGTAGGGGGCTGAATCTCAAAACTCTTATCCATGGGGTTTGGAATTTGTTTGTCTTTAATCACACAGAAATATCGCAATATTTCATTGTGATATGGTTATATATGATAACGCTGCATAAAGTGATGACGTTGTCCTATTGTTAAGTGTTGACACAAAAACGTCTGTGTACGCTGTCGTTATCTACATAAATCTAGAAACACGTTTTCTCTATGTATTATTGGAATGCACCTTTAGCGTGTGGGAGAAAGGTCTACCTTGCATACTCTATACGTTTAAAATGTATTGTTGTAATTTTGTTTACTATCGAGTCTAAATGCCAGTACTCTTACACTGTTCGTTGGCAAGATTCTATAAAAACTATCTTTTTTCTAAACTCTAAATGAGGTGATTTAAAAATTCTATGAAAAAAAATTTACAAACACAATTTTATAAAACTGAAGATGTCAAGCACTACATGATACCACGTGACATATTCTCGACTGAACAAAAAGTTACATATACCTGTGCAGTTATAGTGCTATTAACAAATATGATCTATTGAACTAAATGTACGAACAATTGATGTTTAATACAAATATGTAGTACTTAGTGTGAGCATGGGGTACTGCAGTAAAGGGAAATTACTGGTGTGAGACATATCATATCCAGTTTGGCACTGCGATAGCTATGTCCCTTTTTGTTGGGACTTCGGTCGAAATCCATGTGTGTATGGTATGTGTGTATATCACTATTTATACTGTGACGCTACTTTTTGTTGACTTACACGTACCAATGTCTTTGTTGTTGCCTGCTTTGTAGCCCCTCGTGAACAGTTTTGTGGTAGACTGGTTAAATTTGTTAATTTATTTGCATGTTCCAAACCTTACGTCACTCACAAACAACCCGGGAATAAACAACAACCATCCCTCTCAAAATGTAAACAAGGATTATACGCTATCTGTGTCATATATGCCATGACCTTCTCATTTGCAGGCTGCCAAGACGAGCAGTACCGCCTCAATAGGCTTGTAATTGTTGACCTGTTGTGCCTGTCCGGAAGTGACGTTATCTGCATGAGAGACTGAGTCGTGTGAGTTTGTGTCGGTTGTTGTGAGAGTGTAAATACATGACGTATGTACGACAGTGACGTCAGTTCGGTGTTGTGAGGGTGTCATGTCATTCAGAAACCGTCGGCACTTTCCGTAAACGAGAACATTTCCTCGTTATCGGAAAGTACCGACGGTTCCCGATTGAGTGTCATATGTGTCTGAAAGTGACTATACATATGTGAGTTAGACCTGTGATTCTACTCTCTATACCACAGGGTAGACGTGTTAATGACGTCATTGAAACGTTCTATCCTTATTTGCAAATAAACCGTTATTTATGTAAAAAGAGCCTTCTTTGTTTTTGATAGGGAAAAAATATGGAATTAACATAACACAGTCGTCTGTCCTAAAACAGTTCATACAATGTATTACTGTTTTTCACTTCTTTAATACATGGTCTTCCTCAAATTTACGTTTTTCTCCTTAGTTGTGCATGTCTACTTTTGAGGAAGAGAAGACAAGATGACTGCCAGGCTTTAATCCTTAATTAAGCAGTGTAAGATTAGTATCGCTATTTTTTAGATGTAACTGGATTGATCCTTCCCAGATATCACAGGTCTTTAGTTGTGCATGTTAAAGGTGGCTGTCAGCTGGCGGCCATCTTGATTTCTGACACAAACGCTTGGTTATCGCTATTTCTCGGAAAGAACGGTAGAGATGTATCCTATTACAAAGTTCGAAAACTCCTTGTTGATTAGTTGAGCGTGCTCAGTTTTGAGACTGATCGGAAGCGTAAATCTACAGTTCAATTATGTATCGCTATCACTCAGCGGAAAGTGCTTCGGACTAGATTGTTTCCTCAATTTTCATAAGTAGATTCCTGTTGGTTCCATTTTGTGCATGTATATTATCATGACTGATTGCACGAACAAGGCCAGTGGCCAGTATATTCTTGCTGCTTTCTAGTTATTAGGTGTTTCATTTATAATTTTATCAGGGTTAGAATTTGTGTTTTCTTTTTTTTTCGCATTTCTTATTTTAGTCAATAGGTCAAAGGATAACCGACCATTGGAAAGACGATGTCAAAAAGAAGGATGAAGTTTTTAATCATTTTTTTGTTGTTTGAAATGATTATCGATTCTGCAGTGTAGGAAACGGATCAGAGAAGATCAAGTTTACACGGAATAAGTGTTTATCATAGTGGGCGCCAAAACCTATCTGGGATTTCTTGTTTTAATACTCTAGCCGAGTCGTTTCCATCCTCCATAGGTCCAGGGGTGACGCTCATTTACTTGCTTTGCACCTGGAACAATTAAAAATATTTAAAAAAAAATAGAGATAATTCTTTATGTAAAATACAATGAACATAAAAAAGAGTTTTTCGCGAGGAAAGTGGAATATATACGTGTTGTTTATGTTGATCAGTTATTATTATTATCATTATTATTATCTATATTTCCCCCAAATGAAGATTACAATACATTTCATATTAATAAAGACAAAAGAATACAATAGTAAAATCAGAACAATGGATATTTACATCCATGACACAAAAACGTATATTTATTATTGGACATTGGGTAAGGTATGCGTATATTGTACATTAAATATTCTCCTTAACGGTTATATTAGCATGTGCATACACAAAGAAAGTGTCGTGAATACGTCTGTAGTAACCAATTAATCATAGATATCCAGGGTTACTTTGAAATCGGCTGCTGTAAATTTTTAACATTTTATAGACATTTACCAACAAAAGTAATTCTAAATTCTTCCGATTCATTTTTTTTAAACTTACGTTGTAGGAGTTGGCAATGATGGATTACCTGTTCACTGAGTGTTGATCTAGGTCCCAGAAACATGTCTTATAACTCTTAGGTTTACCGGAAGGTATACATTGCTGATAAATCACCAGAAAGCAAGTGTGGAGACGTGTCTGTCGCTGTGTCAAGCTAGACGGAGTTACTCCCCTTTTGTCAGTTATGGAGCTCTTACGTGAAACTGTTCATGCTTTTCACTGATCAGCACTCAACAAAGTTTTGATAAATGCAGCTGAAGAGTTTGTTATAGTGACGGATCTGATTAGATTGTATAAATGTAACTCGCTACAATCTTTAAGTGAAGACGTTTCAGAATATACAAACGTATATGTCCTGGTTCCATACCGCCTGCTGGTGTACACTTGTTATATCATGCAAGTTATCTGCTGCCTTACGACGAGAATTTCTAATAGCCAGCCTGTCTACTTTTTAACAACAAGTCCTGTAAAAGTTTGTAGAAATAAAGAAAAATTAAATAATGATTCATCGAAGGGAGATAAATCTTACATACTTGAAACAAATTAGATAGCGCATACCGTAAACCGAAACAAAATGTGTTGATTTCAGCAGCTATCAACGGATACTGATTACTTTGGTCGAAATATAAGGTCGTATTTCATAGGAAACATACCGCCTTGTAGTCATGTACATTTCGGTTGTCATACTCTGAGTTTGATTTCCTCGTGACGTATACGTAGTGTCCCCATAATTAAGAACGCAAAATGACAAAAAGATATTTAAAAGATATCTATATATATTGTACATGTAATATTTATGCATTTCTTGAGTGGAATGATGAGGAAATTAACTGAATGTAAGTTATACTTTTTGACTCTAGTGCTACAGTCATACAGGTAATTGATATGGCATTCTTACTTCCTCAAATATAATGAAAAATATGTTTTATGTGCTAAAATCGCATAGAATATTTGAGAAAAATTCTACTATTACTCGAACATGAACACAGGTGTTTTTTTTCGACAAAAAAAGTTTAGCTACCATACTTTATACAGTGTTTATGACCTCGTAATAAGCAACCCATGCGC